AATTACGGATTCTCTGCATTATATTCACACCACACATTGCCTTTCGACACGACATATCCACTGCCTCCAGCCTTCTCCTTGTTACAACATTCACTAATCATAATAATAATAATATCTTTATTTCTACAAGTGCATGTACAAGATACACAAGACTAGCTGACATCGATAACATACTACTGTACAGAAAGCTGCTTCTTAGACAGAACATTTTGGGCAAATTAGGTCGAGTAACACCCAGGTACACATTTTACTGATGGAGAACATGGACAATTGGTGTAAAGAAACATATGCAATATTTCTACGCTTGCCAGGGATTGAACCTGGACCCTTCCCATGCGAACCAAGAGTTTTAGCCACCGGGCAATGGGGCGCCCATATGGTATAACTATGCTCTCATACATTCCCCTCTTTAATTCCATGGATAAAGTTCTTTGTCTCTACAGACTCCTCAGTGCACCACTCACCTTTTTCCCCTTCATCAATTCTATGATTCACCTCGTCTTTCATAGCCCTTTCTACTGACAAGTCCATTTCCAAATATTTGAATACATTCCCCTCCTCCATACTCTCCCCCTCCAATCTGATATTCAGTCTTTCGTTACTTAAACATTTTGTTATTCTCATCACCTTACTCTTTCTTATATTCACTTTTAATTTCTTTCTTTTACATACCCTACCAAACTAATCAACCAACCTCTGTAACTTCTCTTCAGAATCTCCCAAAAGCACAGAGTCATCAGCAAAGAGCAACTGTGACAACTCCCACTTTGTGTTAGATTCTTTGTCTTTTAACCCTACACCTTTTGCCAACACCTGAGTTTTCACTTCTCTTACAAAACCATCTACAAATATTTTGAACAACCATTATAACCTCACACTTTTACTTGGAAATAATCTCCCTCTATCCTACATACTCTAACCTGAGCCTCACTATCGTCATAAAAACTCTTCACTGCTTTCATTAACCATCTTTTTTCCATACATTTGCAACGTCTGCTACATTGTCCCCCTATCTACCCTATCATATGCCTTTTCCAAATTCATATATGCCACAAAAACCTTTATACCATTATCTAAATACTGTTCACCTATATGTTTCACTGTAAACACCTGGTCTACACGTCTCCTGCCCTATCTAAAAACCACTTTGTTCATCTACTAACCTATTCTCTGTCTTACTCTTAATTCTTTCAATAATAACTCTACAGTAGACTTTATCAAGTATACTCAACAGGCTTATTCCCCTATAATTTTTACACTCTCTTTTGTTCGTTTTGTCTTTATGCGAAGGAACTATACATGCTCTCCGGCAGTTTTTGGAAGCCTTACCCTTTTCAATGCACTTATTAATAGCAGTACTCAACATTCCAAAACTACATCCCCCACCTGTTTTTAACATTTCTACCTTTATCCTATCAACCCCAGCTGTTTCACCTCCTTTCATTCTACCCACTGCACTTCCCCCACTCTCACAATTGGCTCTTCCTCACTCCTACAAGATCTCATTCCTCCCTGCCCAATACACAAAATTGCAGCTTAACTATCCTCGTCAACATTTAACAGTTCCTCAAAATATTCCCTCCATTTTTCTGACACCTCTAACTCTCCATCTAACAACTCTCCTGTTTTTAACTGTCAAATCTATTTATTCCATAGCCTTTCTCAACTTATTATTCTCGCTCAAAAACTTTTTTTTAATTTTCAACAAAATTTGTTGATGACATCTGACCCACTTTCTCTTTTTGCATTCCTTCACCACTCTCTTCACCTTTCTTTTTCTCTCCTTATATTCCTTCTTCCTTGTATCACTTCTACATTGCAAAAATCTCTCATACGTTAACTTTTTCTCTCTTATTACTCTCTTTACCTCATCATTCCACCAATCACTCTTCTTCCCTCCCACACCCACTTTCCTGTAACCACAAACTTTTCCTGAATAACTAAATATTTTTCATCTTAATTTCAAGAATTGAGAATAAGATGGAGAGTAGGAGAGCAGATGAACAAGGAGGCTTTAAGAAAGGTAGGAGGTGTTAAAACCAAGTGTTTACAGAGAAACACATAGGTGAACAGTATTTAGATAAGGGTAAAGTGGTTTTAATGGCATTTATGGATTTGGAAAAGGTGTATGGCAGGGTGGATAAGGGGGCAATGTGGCAGATGTTGCATATATATGGAATAGGAGGTAGGTTACTGAATGCAGTGAAGAGTTTTTACGAGGATAGTGAGGCTCAGGGTAGAGTATGTAGGAGAGAGGGAGATTATTTCCCAGCAAAAGTAGTCCTTAGAAAAGAATATGTGTTGTTACCATGATTGTTTAATATATTTATAGATGAAAGTGAATGCTCGGGTGTTGGCAAGAGGTGTGAGGTTAAAAGAAAAGAATCTAACACAAAGTAGGAGTTGTCACAGTTGGTCTTTGCTGATGACACCACTGTGCTTTTGGGAGATTCTGATGAGAAGTTGCAGAGGTTGGTGGATGAGTTTCGTTGGGTATGTAAAAGAAGAAAATTCAAAGTGAATATAGGCAAGAGTAAGGTGATGGAGGAGGAGAATGCACTTAGATATTAAGGAGTGGACGTGTCAGCAGATGGGTCCATGAAAGATGAGGTGAATCATAGAACTGATGATGGAAAAAGGTGAGTGGTGCACGTAGGAATCTGTGAAGACAAAGAACTTTATCCATGGAAGCAAAGAGAGGAATATATGAGAATATAGTTATACCAACAATCTTATATGAGTGTGAAACATTGGTGGTGAATGTTGCAACAAGAAGGATGGAGGCAGTGGAGATGTCATGTCTGAGTTCAATGTGTTGTGTGAATATAATGCAGAGAATTCATAGTTTGGAAATTAGGAGGAGGTGCAGGATTACCAACACTATTATCTAGGTTACTGAGGTGGGGTTGTTGATGTGGTTCAGACATGTAGAGAGAGTGGAACAAAATATAATGACTTAGTGTATAAATCTGGAAGGCAGGGTAGGGGTCGGCCTATGAAAGGTTGGAGGGAGTGGGTAAAGGAGGTTTTGTGTGCGAAGGGCTTGGACTTCCATCAAGAATGAGTGAGTGTGTTAGATAAGAGTGACTGGAGACGAATGGCTTTTAGGACTTGACGTGCTGTTGGAGTGTGAGTAAGGTAACATTTATGAAGGGATTCAGGGAAACCGGCAGACCGGTCTTGAATCCTGGATATGGAAAGTACAGTGTCTACACTCTGAAGGAGGGGTGTTAATGTTGCAATTTTATAACTGTAGTGTAAGCACACCTCTGGAAAAAAAACAGTGGTGGAGTGAATGATGAAAGTTTTTTTCTTTTTCAGGCCACCCTGTCTTGGTGGGAGACAGCCGATGTGTTAATGAAATAAAATAAAAAAGATCATAATTCATTACCATAATTGCCATTCTCTGCCCAATTTGATGTTTACTAGTTTGTGTTCATCAGTTCTCAGTATATCTTCCCTCTCTGCTTTCATTCTGCAGCAAGCAGTTTTGCACTTTATAACTCAACATATTCACTTCTTCTAGAGCAGTATAATTTCTGTCATTACTAATAACTTTTCTGCTCCAGGTGGACTGGTGGTCATTGTGATGCGATTGGAGTGCTTTTTGACAGATGATGATTACAAAGACAAAATGGAAGATTTCATGGACCGTTTGGAGAAGACAAATGTTTGGCGAAAGGTAATATCTCTGTGATCATTTATATTCTACTGCTGCATCGAAATTTATTTTAAGATCGATGTTAAGTGTAAGCCTGTAATTGTTTTGCATGATGGTTATATTGCTGGTGTCTTAATCTGTCTCACAAACACACAAGATTTCAGGTATGTCTTGCTACTTCTACTTACTCTTAGGTCACACTAAACATGCATGTACAAGCATTTATATTCTAACCCCTTCTGGGTTTCCTTCTATTTTCTTCCTAGATCTTCTTCTTGTTTATCTCTACTTATCTCCATGGGGAAGTGGAACAGAATTCTTCCTCGTAAGTCATGCGTGTCAGAGGCGACTAAAATGCCTGAAACAATGGGCTAGTAACCCCTTCTCCTGCATAAATTACTAAAAAGCAAGAAAAAGAAAAACTTTATAAAACTGGGATGTTCGAGTGTACGCGGGTGTAGCACAGATGATAAGAAAGAAATGATTGCTACCTGGAGTTTACCTGGAGAGGGTTTTGGGGGTCAACGACCCCGCTGCCCGGACTGAGACCAGGCCTCATGGAGGATCAAGGTCTGATCAACCAAGCCGTAACTGCTGGCCGCACGCAAGCTGACGTACGAACCACAGCCCGGATGGTCAGGTACTGACTTCAGGTGCCTGTCCAGTGCCCCTTCTTGGAGACAGCCAGTGGTCTATTCGTAAAAACACCAGAGTAAAGAATGAGACACTTGTGCAACACTTCAGAATCTTGTGGAAACGTTTCGCCAGTTAGTGGCTCCTTCAGTCAAGTACAGAGAAACATACTGAGAAATATGTGGTAATCACGACCACTACACACGACCATAAAACAAGACACACGACCATAACACAAGACACACGACCATAACACAAGACACACGACCATAACACAAGACACACGACCATAACACAAGACACACGACCATAACACAAGACACATGACCATAACACAAGACACACGACCATAACACAAGACACACGACCATAACACAAGACACACTACCATAACACAAGACACACGACCATAACACAAGACACACTGCCATAACACAAGACACACGACCATAACACAAGACACACGATCATAACACAAGACACACGACCATAACACAAGACACATGACCGTAACACAAGACACATGACCATAACACAAGATACACAACCATAACACAAGGCACACAACCATAACACAAGACACACAACCATAACACAAGACACACGACCATAACACAAGACACATGACCATAACACAAGACACACGACCATAACACAAGACACATGACCATAACACAAGACACACAACCATAACACAAAACACGAC